CTAGTCCAGTCAATGTATCAAACATTCAGAAGATCAAGATCTAACTCAGCAGATCTTGGGAAAGTATATATTAAGGGGGGACCTATGTCCGAAAAGTCTTTGTGTGAAATTTTCAAAACTTTGACATTTCTTTCATGACCACTTGCTCTTAATTTTTAGGTATTAAAAACAATACCTTTATATGCTTATTTTTACACAGGAGCACGTGCAAAAACAGTGTAAAATGCTAAAAATAGATTATTTTCAGACATTATTGTTCTACCACAAATATGCGCTATAAAGAATCAAAAATGTCAAATCACATTCAAAATCAACATGTATTTAAATTATTTGACTTGTATCTTTAAAACGAGGGTAAAATCATTGTAATTCATCTCGCATGAAAAATTATAATGGAGCACAATGTAAGTATTACCCCATTTTTCTTGTCGTATTTTTTGCAATTCTGACATGCATAAAAAGTAATATCTGAAAAAGTCTTTGTGTGAAAATGTTGTAATTCATATTTTTTGAAAGAAATGAATTATCTCTTTATTTTAATAAAGAAAAAAGTATACCTTTATGATAAAATAAACGAGAAATGTGAAGTTTTATTTTCATACTCTTGTGTCATAAATATTGACCTTTCTGCACTAAGACAAGGGTAAGTAAGCACTGACAAACATCTGAATTTAACACTATTTTGCGGAAAACAAGTATTCGTTTTGATTAGTTACAATTTGCACTGATTTAATCTTTTCTGTTTGATTCCAATCATTCTGCCCCCCCCCCCCCACCTCTTCCTCGTCAACAACCAATTTAACTCCTCTAAGAATTATCCTAGGAATGACTTTATATACAATTAAATCTAAATGTGCTAATCATTAGGCAAATATAGGTACAAGTACATTTTTAAATTTTTTTCTTAGTTTTATCGAGAAAATACAATTAATGGTAAATATAAAATTAAACATATTTCTGTGATTTAAGCCGCTTTCTTTGCTGAATTTTATCTTATCTTTTTGCACTTATATCAGCATATTATCGAGGTATTTTTTCACAACTGAAATTGCTATGATCGAATTATCAACCCAAGGAAGAGATTTCTAATATTAACAAACTCCATTAATCAAATGAAGCTGCTATTAAAGATGTATAAATTTTCTTTTTGTAAATTGTGTACGCTATTGAATATAAACAATGGTAAGCCTATACCACAGTTGCAAAAGTCAACAGGTAAAAGCAAACGTCGCTATTGTGACGTCACATAACGCTGCTTTGACGTAGAACGACATAGGTCCCCCCTTAAGCTGGCTCATTCAAGTCCCTGTGTTCAGTTGTGGAGAAGCCATCATAAGAAGAGGATGTCTCTTTAGTAAGGTATTTGTGTTTTCTCATTTGGGGTGTCTCAAAGTTCTGCAGACGGACCATTTGTGTAACACAGATCCTTAGTACTTGGAGTAGGAAGATAACAAACTAAGGAAAATTATGATTATATAGACGATAAGTTTAAATCACTGTGTTGTTGATTATTATGTCGCCCCAGATGAAGTCGGGGACGACATATTGCGATTGTACGCATGTTTTTTTTGTCCAGGCGTTTTCTTGGAGATGGCTGGGACAATCTTCCTGAAACTTTCCTCAAAGGATGATCACTGGTTGTTGTTGTGCCATGTGGTCATTCAGTTTCAAAATGGCTACCGTTGCCATGGAAACCTGCAAAAAGCGACGAATTTTGTCCACGAGTGTTCTCTCTGGTCCCTTGAACATTCGTCATGAAACTTTTTTATTTCAGTGATTAGTAATTGTAGTTATGCGATTCGCATTTAAAATTTTCAAATAATCAGTTATTGCCATGGAAACCAGGGGAGAGTTAAAATTCTTTTATTTCAATTTTCTCAATAACTTATACTCAAGCAATCGTTTTGAAACTTTCAATGTTAATTCCTTGCAATGTGTCAAAGTGATTTCTATTTTTAAAATAATTGTAATGAGTCGCTCACAGTTGCCATAGAAAATAAACAGAAAAAAAGGTTAAGATGTACACGTGTTCTCCAAGGTCTAGGTCAAAGTTCTTCGTATCCAATAAAAGTTCTTTTCACAAGAATACATATTTGAAATAGGAAATCCCTAGCCCTTACCGTTCAAAGGTTATGGCTAAGGTTCTATGTTCAAGAGAACCCCCCCCCCCCCCCCCCACCGTAGGAAGCGCACAGCCAGGTAGAATACACAGATATATCATATACAACTTACAAGTAACGTTTTAAAAGTTTCATTCATAAAATTCAGTTCCCCTGATGTTATTTGATACGAGGGGCATTTCAAAAGTTCTGGCAACTGTTTCATAAAAGATTAACCATTTTACGGAAATTATTGAGTTTGATATCATTGGAAAGATCAGAAAAATATATACATATTGTGACGTCACTTTATAATTTTTATGACGTAATAACTCCGAAAATGACGTCAGAATATAGAATGTTTAGCATACTGACCATAAAAATGACGTAACAAAAGACAATTTGAAAAAATTAAAATTTTCAAGACAACTTTTGCTCATTACTCGGACGCAAGCTAACGGACGCAAATGCCAGTTGGTGGAACATTTACATAGACTACAATCTATCATATGGTATTTTATTTCGGAGATCTTCTTGTTCTGAAATGGTTTTAGCGAGTGTCAAACTTACCATGGTTTTATCAAATCTCGCTCAAACTTTTGCGGAAAAGAGACCTAAATGTGAGAAAAAGACAAAGTTGACAATCAAAGAAAAATAGGTGATCGTGTTACAAAATTGATGGCATAAATTCGTCAGGTATTTTAACCAGATTTGTGGTATCGATGAAGGCTTAATAGTAGGTAAGTTTAGTGTGCCCCATATTTTGTCGTAAAATCCAAAATGGCGGCAGCGCAGTTGTAACCCAACCGTACCTCCACATATTCGCAAATTTTAATGTTGGGAAAATAAATAAGACTTTACATGTCTGACTAACTTATATTCATTTTTTGGATTCAAAAGTCAAAAGCAGTAGTGAGGTTTGGGGCGCTGAAGTTGAATTTGTATGGAAAAAATAGGCACAGAATCAAGTCGGGGACAAGATTTAGTACATTTTATTCGTAAACGGTAAGAGTGCTGTTACTCAAAATATATTTCATGAAAACTGCATTAATATACTTCAGTTTAATACAGAACATGTTTTATTTCAAACAATGGAGAGCTATATAAAAGACAGAAAATCCAACCGTATCAGGTAAATAAAAATCTTAAATGAATGTTTATGATAGCATAACCGGACATAAACCATGCTCGTAAACAAACCATACAATGAATAATGGAATTGCTGATAAACAGTATCATAGTCCTACTCTACCTCTTTGCAAATTAAAATTTTCTTTGAAATATTTTTTCAAATAAGCCTTTGGCAGCAATTTTACGATTGTCTCATGTGGATAAAAACGCAACTTTTCAGTATGCTAAACATTCTATATTCTGACGTCATTTTCGGAGTTATTACGTCATAAAAATTATAAGGTGATGTCACAATATGTGTATATTTTTCTGATCTTTCCAATGATATCAAACTCAATAATTTTCGTAAAACGGTTAACTTTTTATGAAACAGTTGCCAGAACTTTTGAAATGCCCCTCGTATTTTGCCAACATTCATTTTTCTTCTGTCTTGTCTCTACATTTTATAATTATTTTATTTTATCTGTAAAAAATTAACGATTGTCAGCTGCATTTATTAGCATTTCGTGTTTTCTTGTATATCCATTACTTGTATATTAATAATTTCATTAGATAATGCATGTATAAATTAGAAAATTGGTACGTCTTTTCCATAGTTTTTATTCATTCATAAATCCTTGGATCCACTCCTGCAGGTGCGCGAAGCCTTCATCACCACTGTAAACAAAACATTCATCTCGCCGAAAATGTTCATGATTCCGCTAAACTGAGAAAGTTTACACATGATTTATCATCTCATAACAAACATCAGCCCTGTGCAATGCAGAAATGCTCGAATTGAAGGGGAAAATTCAGGAATTATTTTGCGTCAGCCATGTTTTGACTGAACCTTACCCGGAATTTTGTAATTAAGGTCTTCCGTTTCCAACGGAAAGGACTGATACGACTCGATGGTTGTCCAAGCTTAGCTAATGGGTATTGTTTTTAGTGATGATAAAAATGAAAGTCTGGTCCAGTACGGGGTGACATATGCTATTGCTTGCAATAGCAGACTTTCTAGTTATTGATTGTGTTTGTTCTTATATTTAATCCAATCAGATGAATACATCAAGTAACGTAAAGGAAAATTCTTTATCTATACACTTCATCCGTGGTCGAACCCACAAAACACATTACATTACCATCATTCAATTGTAGAATAGTGAGATGCAGAGAAAAAAAATACAAATCTGCAGTGTATAGTTATTTGCAAATGTAAAATCCTTACCAAAGCAGAATATAGAAACAATTGACATAAATCAGAGAAAATTCGAATTAAGTGTAGAAACAACTAAATTTTCTGAGTTAAACTAATAATGTTAGCATTCTATTATCAATTTTATAGTTGTATTACACTCAGTGAGATATTCGCACATTACTTCTCCATTTTGAATGACATTAAGAGAAAATTAGAAAAAAATTGGATGTCCGCCATGTTGAATCGCCATTTTGACCTCTTTATTTTCATGAACGCCAGCATATTTTTTTGGATTCAGCATACTTGAAATAGGTTAAAATCTATGCTGGACCAAATAATAATTATTTGCCGTTCGAAGTTATTTCTAGCCTTCTTTTTAAAAATCAGGACCAGACTATTGGGTAGTGTAGGTTCTAAATTGTCCAAATCATGACCCCCTGGCAGAAGTTTGGGTCACAATAGGTATTGCAAAGGTGAAAAAAAAAAAAACTGGTGGCCCTTGGGTCTCTTGTTTTCACACTTAAAGAATTGGAGAGATTCATTTGATGGATTTTTATATCAGAAATTTAATATACTATGTATAATGTTTTCAGTACCAACCATTAGGCCAAAGAATTTTGCATTGGATGAAACACAATCATTTACACATGAAACAGCTACATTTGTTTGGGATGCAGTTCCATCTAATTCTACTGAGTTGAAAGGAAAGTTTGATGGATATGTAGTAAGTATTAGAAAAATAAAAGATATCATTTTTCCCCATTTTTAGCTCTACTGGTCAGAGACTAAAAGTACTTATGTGATAGTAAGATGTCCCTCCATCTAGCTGTCTGTCTGTCCTTCTGTTTGTAAACAATTTTTCAAAATGCTTCTCCTCCTACAGTTTTGGTCTGATTTCAATATAACTTGGCACACAAGTAGACTACACTAAGATACATAATTCTATCATCAGTTTTTGATTTAGATGAACGGTGTTGCCTTGGTTACTAAAAATAGAAATTTCTGTGAAATTCCTTGAAGAAACATTACTCCACCTTCAGTTTCTGATCTGAATTCAGTATAACTTGACACACAGGAAGACTACATTAAGATACATAATTAAGTGCATCAGTTTGATTTCCATGAATGGTGTTGCCATGTTTACTAAGAGAAATTTCTGTGAGCTGCATTCCTGTCACATAGACTGTATGTAGTACGAAATACGACAGTAATATGAAATCAATGCAATAATTTCCAAGCGTATTTCTGGCAACAGCAAACATTATTTTCATAGACTAGTGTTTACTACTTTATGTTTTTAAAATCCTTTCAGTGTAAGTAATTATTTAAGAAGGATTTTCTTTATTTTAATAAGGTTTTCTTTTCTTGTAAAGTGTGTAAAAAGCAATACCAAAGAGAGAGAGAGACTCATACAACCCCTTCTTACATATATATAGTCTGTAATTTTTTTTTAAAAATTCTTCATTTTATTTAAGTTACGGAAGTCAAGATTATTCATTCTATAATTCTATTTAATTTCCACAACTTTGGTTCATATTAAACCCATTTGATGCAATCAATTCGTTCTCTGTATACATGTATGCTGTATGCACGAAATCCTTGTGCATCACCTGTCAATCAAAATCCCATGACGCTAGGTGACTCTGAAAGTCTGTTTACGCGGAAAGAATTTATCTTGTGACTTGAAACATTCTTGTGGTCAGTTCTGAGTTCATACCTGTTTCAAAAATATATTGGGTCTCTGCCGGTGGGCCAGGGGTGCCGTATGTTTATCACACCTTTCAAATTCTTCAGCTCTGACCACAGCAAGTGTATAACACCATCAACTGATATCAAGTAAAATTCTTCCAGGTTTCACTACAACAATGATTATAAACTTACATGTACTTTGTTAATTTATTTAGCCCTTTTCAGACACAAAAAAGCATATATCTCATAGATTAAGATTTTTAAAAACATAACATAAATTTTCAGACTACTGATAAAGTTTTAACCAGCTGATTCGTATGGCTTTCAAGAAAGGGGGGGATAAAATCATTTCTAAAATCGCTAAATATCTATAACAGTATATGTTTTTGCAAAAATTTTTTTTCTTTTCATTTTTCATATGATACATGTATATCTCAGAATGAATTAATATTCGTACTGAAGTTAGTGCATTTCATTTGACAAAAATTCGGCTGGTGATTTTTAGCTTTTCTGAGCCAAAGGCTCAAAGAGCTAATGCTATGGCCATTTGTGCAGTGTGCGTCGTGCGGTGTGCATTAACTTTTTAGAATATGGGCCATAATTCAAGAACCCCTTGGCCAATTATTGTCAAATTTGTCACAGGGTATCCTTGGCCTAAGGGCTACCATTTGTACTAAAATTAGGGGTGGGACCCTAAAACAAGAGGAGATAATCAACAAAAATAAAACCAAAAGTACTGGTTGCTAAAAAATCTTCTTCTCCAGAACCACCAGGCAGATTTTCACCAAACTTATATTCAAGGGTTGGGATATGTTGAAGATTAAAAATTGTTCAAGGCATGACCCTGGTAAAAAGGGCGTGGTCTCAAGGTCACTTCAAAGTTGACCAAAATTTACACTTATTAAAAACGTTGATATTTTGCTTACTATAAAGACTAGGATCATCAAATCTTGTAAGTTGATGCATCTCAGGACTTGACATCATGTTAATACAAAAGTAGGTCACAGTGACCTACTTTTTGAATTTTACGGGCTTTTGTTTTCAAATTGATTTTGGGCATATTTTGGACACTTTAAGGCCTATGATCATAAATCTTTGTCAGTTGGTGCATCTTGGGTCCACAAACAACATCAACTCAAAAGTAGGTCACCGTGTCCTACTTTTTGAATTTTATGGCTAATCTTTTCTAAAACATTTAATCCCATTATTTCAGACACTAAGAGGTTTAGAATCACCAAATCTTGTAAGTTGATGCATCTAGAGGCCTTAAAACATATTTATCAAAAGTAGGTCACTGTGACCTACTTTTTGAACTTTGCAGGCATTTTGTTTTCAAATTGTTTAAAAGGCATATTTTGAATACTATTAGACCTATGATCATCAAATTTTGTCAGTTGATGCATCTTTGGTCTTCAGAAAATGTCAACCAAAAAGTAGGTCACTGTGACCTACTTTTGACATTTTATGGCTAGATTTAAGTATCTCGGGTACTAATTGGCTAAGAATCATTATACCCCCGCAAACGAAGTTTGGGGGGGTATATAGGAATCACCTTGTCTGTCTGTGCAATCGTGTCCGGTCCATATCTTTCTTACAGAGGGACATAAGAATATACTACTCCACACAAAGATTGCCCATGACCTAAGGGTGTGTCATGACCTTGATCCAAGGTCATTTAAGAAACTTCAAGGTCACTGGAAGAAAAATTTCATAATTCGTGTCCGGTCCATATCTTTCTTACGGATAAACTTGGTAGGTTCTCATTTCACACAAAGATTGCCCATGACCCAAGGGTGTGTCATGACCTTGAACCAAGGTCGTTTGGGGAAGTTCAAGGTCACTGGAAGAAAAATTTCATAATTTGTGTCTGGTCCATATCTTTCTTATGGATAAAGTTGGTAGGTTCTCATTTCACACAAAGATTGCCCATGGCCCAAGGGTGGGTCATGACCTTGACCCAAGGTCGTTTGGGGAAGTTCAAGGTCACTGGAAGAAAAATTTCATAATTCGTGTCTGGTCCATATCTTTCTTATGGATAAAGTTGGTAGGTTCTCCTTTCACACAAAGATTGCCCATGGCCACAAGGGTGTGTCATGACCTTTGCCCAAGGTCATCTGGGGAACTTCAAGGTCACTGGAAGAAAAATTTCATAATTCGTGTCCGGTCCATATCTTTCTTATGGATAAACTTGGTAGGCTCTCATTTCACACAAAGATTGCCCATGGCCCAAGGGTGGGTCATGACCTTGACCCAAGGTCGTTTGGGGAAGTTCAAGGTCAATGGAAGAAAAATTTCATAATTCGTGTCCGGTCCATATCTTTCTTATGAATAAACTTGGTAGGCTCTCCTTTCACACAAAGATTGCCCATGGCCCAAGAGTGTGTCATGACCTTTACCCAAGGTCATTTATGGAACTTCAAGGTCACTGGAAGAAAAATTTCATAATTCGTGTCCGGTCCATATCTTTCTTATGGATAAACTTGGTAGGCTCTCATTTCACACAAAGATTGCCCATGGCCCAAGGGTGTGTCATGACCTTGATACAAATTCATTTGGCGATGGTATATGGTCATGGTGCCTCTACCAAAATTGTGAATTTTATGGCCCCAGGGTCAGGGTTCTTGTTTTAGGGTGGGGCTCTAATGATTATATAGTGAATTGCATGAATTCTTTGAACATCTTATCCTTTGCTCCTGGTTAATATGCTAATGATCTAATTACATATTTAAGGCCAGGATTTATTTTATTTTCAGTTGTACAAAGCCTCCGCTCAAGGTTTTGAATTTTCAGAAAAAAATAAAACAATTTTTTTCTTTCCGATGTCAAATATGAGTCGGGATCAAGATTTCAAATTTACGAACTCGCACTTCCGGTTTTAAGATGAAACGGCGGGTAAATAAAGCTAGATCTGAGAAGATAGCTTGGTTTAGTGTAAAATTCGTCGATACGAGTGCCATTCAAAATGTTTCACCTGTTCAAAGGACAAATAAAATGCTGACGACTTTGTTGCACAATGACATGCTGGTGAGATAATTATGTATTCGTTTCAAAAGTATCTGTCTGTAAATTACTTTCCTCCCCCAGGTTTTAAACTGCCCGTGGTAGCTATTGCATATTGCCAGCGACATTGTTTAGGTCTCTGTTATAGCTTACAGTCTAAGCATCATTCTTCAGATAAGGGTTGCTTATGCATCAGATGTAATGAATAAAACTATGGGAGAAGTTAAGTCCATTTGAGGTCAGAAGAAATGAACAATAACCTGAAGAAATAAAAAAAATTCAACTATTAAAAGGCAAGAATATACAAATATATACAGGCATGTAGTATCATTTGTATCAGCCAGAGAAATTATTTTGCACTTAATTGAAAAAATGTTCACCGTACTCCCCAATACTCCCTGTCTGTTTTATTATAGGAATTATAATTTTAGGCATCAAGTAGATTTTAGAACAATGTCTACACATTCACCTAACACATATTAAAAGAATGGAGATATATTGAAAGACTTTTAAAGAATTGATTTTTTAAAATATATTTTGACCAACATCACAAAATTTATATAACTGGCCCAAACTGGCAGATGATGAAATAAGCAATTAAATGTTCTACTTTCCTATTTGTAAGCATTATGTGTCCAGTGGTAAGGAGCCTATTAGAATAGCATAAAAAAAGAATGTACAATTGATTTATCAAAAAAATTTTTTTTATTTCCTTTTCCTTCGGGACTTTTTTATTCTCATGTTCATAACTAAACCTAAACATAAAAAAAAAAATGCTGGCCTTATAATGAAGAGAGGGGCCTCTTTCAAAATAGATAAATTCAGGGCCACTGGGTCAGGGGCACCATGGGGGTACTTTGACTACAAATAAATTAATGCTTTGAAATCTGCCCTTTGATAGGCAATGGTGCCTCTTTCAAAATTTGTGAATTTCATGGCTTTTGGATTAAAACATGAACCAAATAGGATCGCTGGAAAGTTGTTACATGATATTCAGGTGACCTATAAGGCCTGTGGGCCTCTTGTTGAATTTTGCAGGCATTTGTTTTCAAATTGTTTAAAAGGCACATTTTGAATACTTTCAGATGTATGATC